TCTTAAGTTCTTCATCAGTGAATTTATCCACCTCAGTTGAAAAGTGAGGTCATTTTATTCTTAATATTAGTTGGAAGAAACCTCAGTTCCCACTTGGAGACTATAGTATAATATAATATACTATGTTTAATATAATATACTAAATAGATCATGTTATTCAATCATTTTCTTAAATAGTTATCAGAATGGCAATGAAATCAATTAGGACCACTCCCCTGTACATTGCAGCTCAGTCACTTGAACTCCCACGCTCCAGGTGACTGGAGCACTCTAAAGAGGTGACATCCACACGGGGGAGGATGTTACTAACTGTGCAAGTAAGTTGGAGTCTGCATTTATTGGAAGCCACACCATTATAATGATACATACCATCTTCCTCAGCTCCTGGTTGGAAACAATAATGACATTTGGCGGGTCCCCAATGGCGGTAGCAGCCCCTCCAATGTTCGTGAAGATCACTTCTGCAATCAGGACTTGTCTTGGATCAAGGTTGAGCACCTCACACAATCTGTCATGAGTTGTAGGGGAAGAAAACAGTCCCACTATTCACATTGTGAAAGGCCCATGTGCGAACTAAAGATTTTTAAAGCACTTGCTCGTACAAGGGCGGGGTGTGCATGCGTGCACACACACACACACCCCCTCCGGTGAGAAGGGCAATGCTGAGGGATAAACTGACAAGAATGCTAGAGAGTTACGGGATACAGCGGACTCTCCGAATTACATTTCTCAGAAAGTTAACCTGCAACCCATCTGAGCCATCCAGGTGAAGATGTCCTCCTGCCCCACCCTGCGCAGGTCTGGAGGGAGCACTCGGGGTGCAGGTCCTCAGTGCAGGGCAGGCGCAAGCACAGGTGAACTCGCGCTGGCCCCCTGCAAGTCAGGGTGGAGACAGAGCAGAAGGCACCACTGCCCAGTGGCTCACACCACGCCTGCCAGCCTAGTGACTTACCCACCTTCCCTTCTAAATGCTGAGGCCCTGAGCGGTCCCCTGGCCCCTTCCCTTTAACTACTGCCTGTAGACTTCTTCCTTAAGCAACACACACTTTACAGCAGAGGCTCTCCACCTGGCTACATGCTAGGTTTGTCTGGGAACCTTGAAAGTCCTGTGCCAAGCTCGCGACAGACCAATCCCTGGGGGCGGGCCGGGGCAGCAGCGTTTACAGCTCCCCAGGGGGTGTCCAGTGAGCACACAGTTGAGTAAAGAAAGTTTAGGAAATGAGACAGGAGGGAAGGGGGCAGGGCACAGCCATTACAAGAATGACACAGCCATTAGCACCAAGATGGTGGAAGGTCCAACTCCCAGTAGACCTTGAGCCTCAGTGCACACTCATTGTAACCCAATAGCTCCTCAATGTCTCTCCCACAGGTGCCAGGACC